TAGATGTCTGAACATGGTGGGGAGATATTCTTGCCCTAGGGTTTGGGGTCAGGGAGAATGCTTGAGCAGAGGCTGACACAAGATAGAGAAAAAACAACAAATAGTAGAAAATTGACCCAAACCCTGGAGAAAGCAGGGAAGGAGGAGAAAGATGATACTCACTTAGGATGGTCAGCCTGCCTCCCTATCAGAATTAATTGTGGGATTTAGCTGTCCTAGGACATCTTTCTACCTGGAGAGGTCCCTGTCTCTTTGCATATCAGGAGTCCCTCCCTTCAGCATTTGCTTTGGGGTCCCTCCTCTTCATTGCAATGTAGATATTCCAACCTTTGTTCCTTGGAGTCCTGAGAGCCACACTGTCAAATAACCTGGATGTCCTTGGGGAGGGGGAACCCAGCACCCTGGGGTCACCTTCTCACAGAACATTCTTCCTCCATCTCTGTCACTCTCCCATTCCTTCCTCCATCTCTCCATGTCTCCAGTCAAAGGCCTCTCCTCACACTATGTAAAACCTCCCCATGGCTGGAACCCACAGAAGAAAGAATCCAGGCAGATTGAGCTGTCCCCAGCATCCTTCCCAAAATCATGGTCCTTGTGCCCCAACCCAAGCTCCCTGTTCTACTTGCCCTTGGAGGCCCATAGACTTTGAGGGAGGGCATAGATATCCCAAGATTCCAAAGGAGAGTGTCAGAGAAAGAGAGAGAGAGAGAGAGAGAGAGAGAGAGAGAGAGAGAGAGAGAGAGAGAGAGAGAGAGACTGTAATCAGGCTGCAAGGCTTAGTGTTGCAGACCTGAGAGAGAATAAGGTCCTTGTCTTAGACAGAAAAGAAAGGAGTAAACCATTTCCCCAAAATTTCACCCTGAATCCCTAATGAAGACAGAAAGGGAAGACGCACCAAGGATGGTAAACCATGACTAAGTCCCATACACAAACCCACTTGTCACCCCCCCAGTCTCCGACCCCCCCGACTGCTCGTGAAGTCAGAGTTCATGCTCCTATTCACATGGATGGGTGGAATCAGGGGTGCTTTAATGGGTTGCCTCACACTCCAACACATCTTTTTCTCCAGGGCTTAGAGATCCATTTAACCCCATCATGAGAACGGTTGAGGGGTATGTATAATCCAATGCCAAACTCACTGCATTCATGGGAAGGGCCTGTATGGCCTACGTCACCTGGTGACCAAGTGCCACCAAGAAAGGGGTAAGAGAAGTTACAATACGGGGATGATGAAGTTGGGACCTATTTGAGGAACTGGGAACTGTGGGGAGAATACTGGATGCCCCCATATCCTCCACTGGAGGTCACGACGGGAAGGGCTTGGAAAAGTAATGGTGGGGTGTGGGGAGAGTTACATTGCTGCCAGGGATACAGATCCCACTGCAAGGTCTGACTTGGAGCGTCCCCACCCTAAGCTCCACTGTCCTGAATACACAGTGTATGATCACCCCTCATGTTCCCCTCCAGAGCCCACAAAGCTGCAGAACATATTGCCACTACAGTTTCTTGTAGGAACTCTATGAGTGGAGAGGTCTCTTCTGTGTCCTCAAGCTCCTTCTGATAAAAACAGACAATATGTTCATGGGTGCTACACAGCCTCCTGTGTTCATAAGTGTCACCAGAACTGAGTACACAATAGCCCAGGGACACACATGGCACCCCACACTGGATGAGCATGTTCAGAGCAGTGCTTGAACACTCAAGCCCCTGGTGTCCCTCCTGATTTGGGCTTAACTACTGCAGAGCTCACACCTGTGACACACTCCTGCCAACCTGACTTCACAACAGTGTTCTCCACAGGAGGTGTCTTCACTAACTTCTGAAATCTGCCTGTTGCTTGTTTTCCAGAATTCTTCCCTCAGGTTTCTCCTGTCTCCTCTCTCACTCTTGGCCAGGACAAATGATCCTGCCCCACCTCAATGTCTGGACCAGCCCCACAGACCAGAGCTCAGGGACTTCAGATCCTTTCCTTATCTTGGCTCGTGTTCCAACCTGAGTCTCACTGCAGTGTCTTCCACCTAAGCCTTTCCTGATCCTTCCAGAGAGATTGCCAACTAACATGAACATGTCCACAGGCGATTTGTGTGTGTATGTGAGTTAAAGATCAGATCCCCCACTGAATTCTTAAGAGGAGGAGTCAGCTGAGACCCACTGAACTCCGGAACTTGTCACTGACTTTGAACTCATCAGTCTGTTGACAATTTGTGGTCACTGGGACATCACGTCCTTGTCATGAAATCAGTGGACAGCAGAGCTGAGTGCCTTCCCCCAGTGTCCTTGAACATAGCTAGTTTACACAGTGATGTGTATAACAATAGACTCCAAGGGGTTTTTTTGCAGTAAGTGATCAGGGTCCAGATTTGAGTTTTGGTCACTGAGAACTAAAAGGAGGGCCTATGGGGGCTGAGGTTAGGAGTCATGGGGAGACAGGAACAGAGTAGATCTCTATTGAGAGGGCAGAACTCTAGATTTTGATGGGGAGAGATTTACAAGTATAAAAGTGTATATACCCTTGGAGCAGGAGATGGAAGGACACCTTGAAAGAAGAATAATGTCTACTGTGAGGACTCAGGATAATTGAGAAGAAAGCTCAGACCTTATTCTGGGGCCACGGAGATGGAAGGAGTGTTTGTCACCCTGTAGCCAGAGGAGGACTTGTGCACAGTGAATCAGGAAGCACAAGGTGAAGTGGGAAAGAATGGGCAGGCCTGGGTCCTTCTGAGGGTCTTTCCCAAGAATCATTCTCTGGCACATTCAGTGAGGGTAGGACGAGAGAAAGGATTCTGCAGAGAAACATCAGGGCTTTTTTCCTGGCTGCTTTGTCACTAGATCAAAGGGTTCCTGTCACTTTTGAGGATGGTTAAATGTAGAATGGAAAGTGTATAAGCAAAAATGAGCAAAGACTGGAATTTCTGATTGACAATGAGGATACTTATTGAGGGTTTATTGGGTGCAAGGAGAAGGGTTGATGACTTGGCATAGGGGGAGGCACTTCCCTGGGGCTGCCAAGCTCTAAGATTCCATGGGTGGGGGAGGGCTAGTGCCAAAGAACACCGTGCAGGCGCAACTTTCTTCTCTACAGTGCTCTCATTGTGTGTGACCTGGCTGCTCTGGCTGCTGCTAGATTTTTTCAGATCAGATGTCATGATCAAGTAGCTGCTGGCTGCATACTTGTTGTTGCTCTGTTGGAGGGCTGGGTGGTCTCCATGCTCTGAGTGACGAGGGTGCTGTCTACCTTACAGGTCACAGACACAGTGCCCGGTAGAAATTGCTCATGAGAAACACCAGTGTGGTCTTGTTTGTTTTTAATCTCCTCAGATGATGGGGTGAACAGAGTGAAAAAGGGGCCGGCCTTGGGACTGAACTGTACAGTTGGGGAGAGGCAGGAGATTAGATGCTTGGTATTCTCCTGGGCCTCCTGACTGCAGTCTTGAATTGGGTACAGTCCAGGTCAAGAACCTTGCTACAGGAAGGTGGGAATACTCACCTCCTGACAGAAAATGTGTGTGTGGCAGTCTCTGCTGGCCCGGCCAACTGCTTCCATTACACACAAGTGCCCTTGTCCATAGGTACTCCACAGCCTCCTGTGCTCAAAAGTGTCACTGAGACAGAGTACACCACAGCCTAGGGTAACTCTTGATGGGCATTTTCAGAGCAGAGCTTGAACACACAAGGCCTGGGTGTCCATCCTTGTCTGGGTTTGACACCTGAAGAGCTGACACCTGTGATACACACCTGCCACCCTGCTCTACTCAGCAGTGTCCCACACAGCAGTTTCCTCCACTGACTCTGATATCTGCCTGCTGTTCCTTTTCCAGAATCCCTTTCTCCATGCTCTTCTTGTCTCCTGTTTCACTCTTGGCCCAGGCAGGTAATCCTGCCCCTTCCACAAGTCAGGGCCAACCTCAGACCCAAAGCTCAAAGACTGCAGAAACGTGGCTTCTCTTTGCTTATGTCCCAACCTGGGTCTCACTGACTTGCTTCCTCTGGACTCTTCATGATCTTCCCAGCGAGATGCCCAACGTGGGTGTATGTGCTGGTGAACTGTGTGTATATGTTGTGTGCATGTTATCAATCAGATCTCCCACTGTATTCTTAAGAGGAGGAGTCTACTGACACCTCAGCTCATGGGAGACTTCCAGAACCTGCCAACTGACTTTGAACTCATCAGTCACTGGGACATTATGTCCTTGTGGTGGAGTCAGTGGAGAGTAGAGCTGACTGCCATCCTCGAGTGTCCTTGAATACAGCTGGGTCACTCAGTGGCATGTAAAACAGTAGGATCCCATGGGGTTTTGTAGTGTGAGCGACCAGGGTGCAGGTGTGAGTTCCTGTCAGTGAGGGATAGAGAGAGGACTTGTGGGGGAAAAAGGCAGAAACCATGGGGAGACAGAAGCAGGGTATACACCTATGTCGAGGGCAGTACTCAAGGTTTTGTTTGGGGGAGATTTGCAAGTATGGAAGTGTATAGCCTTGAAAGAGGAGATGGAAGGACATCTTGAATGAAAGATGATGCCCACAGTGAGGGCCCAAGATAACAGGGAAGGGAGCGCAGCCATTCTCCCTGGGGCCAGGAGGATGGAAGGAGTGTTTGTCCCCTAGTACCCAGAGGGGGACTTATACAAGGTGCTGCAGGAAGTACAGAGGAGAGGTGGGAAAGAATGGGCAGGTCTGGTACTTCTGATGGCCTTTCCTTTTTTCTGTTACATTCAGTGGTTGTTGAATGACAGTAAAAGTATCCCTCAGAGAAACATCAGAGTGCTTTTCAGGGCTGCTTTGTCCCCATATCAAAGGATTCTGTTCTCCTTTGAGTATTGTTAAATGTAGAATGGAAAGTATATAAACAAAAATGAGAAAAGACTAGAATTTCTGATTGGCAAAGAGGATATTTATTGAGGGTTATTGAATGCAGGGAGAAAGGCTGACAACCTGGCATGGAGGAAGAACCTTCTCCTGGCTCAGAAGGCCTAGGTTTCCATGGGTTGGGGGAGGGCCAGACCCTAAGAACACTGTGCAGGGACCACTGTCTTCTCCACGATGCTTCCTTCATGCGTGACTTCGCAGCTGTACATCTTGTAAGTTCTCAACCATTCAAGTGATAAGCTCAGGTAACTGCTGGCCGCATACTTTTTGTTGCTCTGTTTGGAGGGCTTGGTGGTCTCCACACCCTGAGTGATGGTTGAGCCATCTGCCTTCCAGGCCACTGCCACTTCACCCGGGTAGAAATCGCTGATGAGACACACCAGTGTGGCTTTGTTGGTTTGGAGCTCCTCAGAGGATGGTGGGAACAGAGTGACTGAGGGGGAGGCCTTGGGTTGACCTGTGGGGGTCAGGGAAGAATAGGAGCGCATTGTCTTGGTTTCCACATGGGGAGCTTTGCCCTCTGTGTGTGAGGAGGGGTCTGGCCCTCTCTGCTAGTTCAAGACCCTTCATATGTTTCGAAATATCTCTTGGACAATGAATCAGGTGTTCCTAAAACCACTTTCTGTCAGTTCTAAGAACCCCAGAGCCTGTCTGCCCATGACCTGTTTTGAGATTCTCTGCTCTTTGGCCTCCTGCTCAGAATGCGGGCCCTTAGTTACCTCCTCCTGTCTCCTCCTGACATCCTGACCTAGTTTATCTTGAGGTGTGTGTCTGTCCCCTGAGCTCTCTGAGTCTCCTGTTAGATTCACTATGGGGGCTTTTCTTACCCAACATGTCTACTGTGCATGCTCTGGGTCTATGGTAAGGGCTCTCTTTTTACGCAATTCTTTTTACCCTGGAACCTCAGCAGTAGGGCCTTTGATCACCTGGGTGAGTCTTTCTGCCTGTCCTGGTCTTTAGTTGTTGGAATCATGTTACGAGTCTCTCTGTCTATGGACTGATCAGTGGCTTTTATGCCTTTGATATTGGGATCATGCCTTGGGGTCAGTAAACTCAGGGAATCCTGCTTCTTGGGTATGTCCTGCAGAAGAAGGGTGTAACCCACCTTCCTGAAATCCTCATCCTTACATGACTTCTCTACTGGCTCCCTTGTGTTCAGAGTATTCTTCTCCATCCTCCCCGCTGACTGGGTTTCCTGAGTACAAGGTCAGCTCAGGAATTTCTCTTTGGCAGCCCATGGAAACATCAGGAGATCCTTTCACCTCCATCCTTGATTCTTTCCTGAACCTAAAATCTCTCAGCCCTGGGAACTTGGCCATGAGTCTCTGACCAGTGGCTCCCCTGCTGTGGCGCTGATGGTTCAGGGTCCAATAAAGTTTCCCAAGTGGTCACTCCTTCAATTCTCTTGCTTCCTCATCCCATAAGATGGGGCATCAGTTTCCCTTCATAATGCCAACTAGGCAGACAGGGCCCAGATGGGGAGGGCTAGACAGAGCAAATCCTGGAGACCCAATGACCCCTTTCAGTCAGACATACATACATACATAGCAACAAACAAAGAGACATGCAGACAGAGGAGTAGTATCAGCAGTGCACCCTGTCCACTCTTGGCCTTGAGATTCAAAGGTACAGAGTGGCCAGCTGAGGCAAGTGTGTGTCTGAACAGGGTGAAGAGAGATTCTTTTCCCAGGGTTTGAGGTCAGGGAGAATGCTTGAGCACAGGATGACACAAGATAGAGAGAAAACAGCAAATATTAGAAGACTGACCCAAATGCTGTAGAGAGCAGGAAAGGAGGAGAAAAAAGACACTCACCTAGAATGGTCAGCCTGGTCCCTCTGCCAAAAACGCAACACTGTGACCAGGCTCACACAAAAACCCCTCCCTTGGCCATCCCTCAGTCTCCATCTGCAGCTGCATAAAAATGCCCAGGCCCCTGACCCTGAGTGTGTATACTTAGCAGTGAGTTCTAACAGTCCCCATCCCCACTCCATGAATAACAGAATGTATTCCATTTTGTGAATCTGGATGTCACCCTGGAAACCAAACTCCTAATAGTTGCCAGTGAGCAGACTGGAGGGGTTAGGGTTTCAGACCCCAGAGAGATTCAGACCCTTGCCCTAGAAAGAAAAGAAAGTAGAAAACCATTTTCCTCAAGTTTCACCCTCAATCCCCAATGAAGATAGAAAGGAAAGACTCACCAAGGACGGTCAATCGGGTGCCACCGCCGAATGTAAAGCACCGTGACACATCCTCATACATAAACCCTCCTCATACCCAACCCAGTTCCCCCACAGCTACTCTTGAGGCCCAGGGTTCAGTCTCCTTTTCTTTTTTTTTCTTTTTTTTCATGGTGTATGACTTTTATTTTGTTTTTTAATACAGGACTTGAATACAGTAGGTTATCAATAGGTTAAGTGAAAGTAGAGCAATTTCTCAAAAGATATGTACATATTTTTCACATGACTTTTTCAAAAATATACTATTATCTCTTAAGAACAGATTAAATGGGCAGGTCTAAATGTGATTTTGAAAGAAAAGAGAAAAAAATCTGACCCAATAAAGCACTTCTGTAATCACTGGAGCATTAATCTATGCATATGACTTTCTTAAAAGTTTAAAGACTAGAACTTCGCTTAAAGGAGACTCAATAAATGCTGACATAAGACCCTCAGATAAAGTTGATATTTAGACTATTTCTACAGTGTGATAATAAAACAATATTATCAGCAGAAGGGAGGATGCTCTTTTTTTAAATTTTGCTTTGTAGAGCTAGAGCATACTGTGGTGTGCTTTACAGCAATTCAGTATCTCAATAACCCTTGATGAAATAATGACTTTTCTCAATCTCTTCAAGTTGAGTGCATAGCTTCCAGGAACCCACATGAGTGGGTGAGAGAAGAAATCAACTGCCTAGCCAGTCACATCAGCCAAATCAATGCGAACAGATCAATGGATATGCATCATACTAAAGAGGCAGTAAAGTGTCAGACAAAACTGAATTTTGATCTTAGCTCTAATAAATTACTTATCCTAGTTTAGAAAATCAAGGCAATAATATATTGTAAGTGAAATAATACTATTTTGAAGTCATCACAGTGTTAAGTACATGAGCTCAAGAATATTTATAATTAATGTTATTGAATGTAGATAGCATCTGGAATGTTTTGGAGTCTTAGTTTCTAAGCTATCAGTAGGAAGGAAATGTACAAAAATCATAATAGGATAAAAAAATAGGTTTCATGAGATTTTGGAGTACAATCTAGATAGGATCTTTGGATAGAACAGTCATCCCAAAAGGGGGTCAAGAGTTGCTTACATAAAGGAGAATAACTGAGAAGTTACAGGTGGTGAAAATGATATTAAATAGAATGGCTTCTAAACTAGCTTCACAGTGATTTGCATAAGTCTGGATCAGCAGGGACTAAGGTTTTTATGACATCCTGCCCATCAGTTCCTAAGTACGTAAAGAAGTTGAAGAGATTGTTTTCAGCCACCAGTCAATTCGATTCCTTCTTTGAGAAAAGTCTGAAAGTTAACATGGTAGAAAAGAAAAGCACTTTCTCATTTCTTACAGGCAATGAGGGGTGGGCATAGAAGTTCTTACTGGCAATGAAGCCCTTCCTTTGTTCCATTCTTTCTTCCATTCTTCCTCTTCCTCCCTTTCCTTCTATCCCTCTTCCTCTCTTTTTTCCATTTTCTTTTTTCTTTCTTTTTTTATATCAATTTTTTAAATTATAATATTGTGGGGGTTTAGTTAGAGGTTAGGTATACAAATACGTTTCATTCAGGCACCCTGTTGATGAGAGGTGTTTCCCCATCCCCAGACAGATATTTGCTACCTTTAATCCCATCTCCCTCCACCCCCATAGTTTCCCACTACTATCAGTCATTTTCTTATAGGATTACATTGGATGTTCAAGGTCCATTATATTAGTAAGACCATGTGATACTCTGATCTTTGTTTCTGTGAGAGGTCACTCAGTATTATAGACTCTAGTTC